ATTAAAATAAAATAGAAAAATAATAATATTAAATGGAAATTTAACTTCATTGTGACAGTCCTACATGTTGTCATGTGTAAAATATGAGTTTCTCTTAATTGCAACGCGACCACCGAGCAAGGTCGCATCATCAAGTGGTGCTCACGAACATACTACTTTACTGTTTGTTGTTGTGCTACAGGTCGAAAGGGTGGGGATGGTGACGGTGGCGATACTGGCGGTGATTGCAGTGGAAACGCTAAAACAACCCAGACAACAGGCCCCTGTTCCAACCCAACTGCTAAAGTAGAATGTAACAGTGGTCTGGGCGATCTCCGGCAACAGATGTTGAACGCTCATAACTACTACCGTTGTCTACACGGTATCACTAAACCTCTAGTTTTAGCGGACGATCTAAATAACTACGCCCAAGCCTGGGCCGAGGAAGTCGCTGCTATGCCGGTTGAGCCAAAAGGTCATGAAGTCCATAGCACTAATCGGGGAGAAAACCCACCAGATAGAGGAGAAAACTATTTTTCATTCGCTAACGGTTACACTCATCCGACTGAAGATAAATTAACAGGTATCTGCTTTCAAATGCTTGAAATCCTGATTTTTTGTATAAATATATATATATATCCATTTCCTATAATTCGAGAATAGTTTTCTTTGATGCATCCCCAGATTTGTTACGTAATGCTAACGTCATAACTAGAAGTTAGTGGAGTGGCGCGACGTTCCACTGGGTCGAGGCTAGGTTGACATGTATGCGTGAGTAGGCCCTCGCCAGCCGCGGAGGGCGCAACTCACGCGACCTCGTCATGCTAGGTCTAGGCTAACGGTGATTAAATCAGATACTCCTAGGTAGGGGCTACCATGTTACACCAACTTACCCTCCAAAAAGTTGATTGGATCACAGTCCCTCTATCACTGATAGAGGGACTGTGATTGAATCTTGTGTGGTGGTGAGGGGGCAACATAACAATATTTCATTACTTTTTGTGAAACCAAATCAATCGTTAAAAAATGACAAGGTAATTTTGGTTACGTGACTCCTTACAGGTGAATATCCGGTGTCTATGTGGTATTCAGAGGAAGTAAAATGGGACTACTCAACCAACAGTGCTAAACCACCTGCCACCGGAAATGACGTTGGTAAGTACGCGTCGTCATTTTAAAACGATGATTTAAAATGGTCGATATAGCACGAGCTATAAAATGGCCGCCAGAATGTGCTCAGGCTATTATAACTAGGAACCAAGATTTCCAAAATACTCTTTTGTTTTGTCACCTACTCGGTATAATATTGTTTAATCTTCTCCATGTAATGATCGTATTAACAACCAACAAAAAATGTTAGTCATGGGATGAAGGGCACTACCTACCAAGTTTTAGAAAAAATACATTGTCGGGCATGAACGGTGAATTGATTCGACAAGTCACACGGATTTATTTATCTATATCGTTGTACAAGGTATAAGTTTTTGATCTGGAATACCAACCGAGAATACTCGTTAACAGGCTGGCCGAGATTGGCCGACAAACATCGATTATGGCCGATTATAATCCAGTGGGTGAAGGATATTCTAGTTTTTGTTTTGCTATTGTTTCTTATAGGTCACTTCACAGCAATAGTGTGGAAGAGTACATATGAACTGGGTTGTGGTGTGGCTACCAAGCAACTTAGCTACGGGCCGAAGTTTTTCATCGTCTGCCAGTACAGAAAACCCGCCAACATTGGTGACCCTGCCAAGAACGTGCCAAAAAAGCTTTACTGAATACTTATTGGTCATCGCGGTTCCACAAGTTTTTGACGGTAAACCGTTGATACGTAATAGATACGTCACGATACCGTATAACAATCGAACAAAATAAGCAGCACGTAACTGTTTCAATATAAATATTTGTAAAATGCAATAAAAATACCGTATTCAGTAATGTGTATGTATTATTCACATGAAATATTATGTCGTTCGAATGTGCGGACGATGGTCACCTATAAATCTTAGACGGAGGCAAATGGCCTCCGAGATCTCGCTGAGAGCGAGATATTCACGAAACCGTTTCCCCCTCAAATAGTGCCCCATTCTTTCCCTCCTGGCGCCTACTGTATCTCTGACTCATGTAACCATGGTATTTGAAACAGTGGACGTGATGACGAAATGCACGTGCACACTATTTGAATGACAGAGACAGATCTCGTGGCCTTCTCGTTCTCATCGAGATCCTGGCGGCCATATATATTAGGTCCATTATCCTTGTAGGCACTACTGGTACACTATCAAATAGACTCAATCCACTAGTCATTGTCAAACACAGTTTAACATGTCAAAATTTAATGTTCAATATTAGAAATTTCTGTTATTATAGGACAATTTGGTGCCAAGATGTGTGGCATTTAAGGGTCTAGTGCAAGGCCTATTGATGCAAATATATATATATATGTAAGACGAGTCTTTGCTACTGACACTATGACTGACTCACAAACTCACAAATATCGACAGAAAAAAATCACCTATGTGAAGTCATTCTTGCACTTGCAGGTGAGATAAACTATCATAGAGTGATTTGGTGAAAACAGCCCATCTTTGAATATCTATTTGAAAAACAATCATGTAACATCGAACAAAGATTAAAACCCACTAGTGCATCACGGCCAATCAGAATTCTCCATTATAGGTGATGTAGTGCTTCTAGGCCAATCATAATTCTCCATTACAGGTGTTGTAGTGCTTCTCGACCAATCACAATTCTCCATTACTGGTGATAGAGTGCTTCTCGGTCAATCATAATTCTCCATTACAGATGTTGTAGTGCTACTCGACCAATCAAAATTCTCCATTACTGGTGATACAGGTGTTGTAGTGCTTCTCGACTAATCACAATTCTCCATTGCAGGTGACGTAGTGAATCTCGGCCAATCAGAATTCTTCATTACAGGTGATGTAGTACTTCTCGGTCAATCAGAATTCTCCATTACAGGTGATGTAGTATTTCTCGGTCAATCAGAATTCTCCATTACAGGTGATGTAGTATTTCTCGGTCAATCAGAATTCTTCATTGCAGGAGATATTGTGTTTCTCGGCAATCAGAATTCCCATTACAGGTGATTCGTTCTTCTCGGCTAATCAGAATTCACCATTACAGGTGTTTTAGTGCTTCTCGACCAATCACAATCCTCCATTACTGGTGAGATAGTGCTTCTCGGCCAATCGTAATTCCCCATTGCAGGTGAAATAAACGAAATGTCATGTTTCCAGTTACTTGTTTTCTCAAGCCAAATGTCTTTTGCCAAATTCCGAAATTCACACACTACGTAGTAAACGTTCTAGAAGCATATTCCGTTTAAAAATGTCGTACAGAAAGTTGACAGGAATAACTATAATGAGAATTCTACAAAAATGTATATCGATAACTGGTTTGGGCGGTGGATTTTAAGTCAGATAAAAAGCCGGTTAACACAGTCAAATTTATCTTATCAGATTTGTCGGACGAAACTGCGTCCGTTTAATCTGATGAAAAAAGTATGTGTTTACATGGTCAAATTAATCTGATAAGAATAATTGGGTGCCAAAGTTCAAGTATGTCCGATTTTTCTAAAATATGATTTTGCAACGCGATTTATCTGATCGTGTAAACCGGCATATACAAGACTGGATATAACGTCTTTCCCACAAAACATGTTTCGGCATGTGGAGGTTATATCTAACAAATGTGAACAGCAATTAGCAATAATCGTTATTGGTGGTTTTGAAAAAAAATCAAATAATCTTTACAGTGGTTACATAAATGTCATTATTATACATCTGTCACCGTAACGCCATAAGTTACAGCGTGCCGTAATTTTGCGGTATTTTACGGGGTATTTTCATCCTACCATATATGGAAATGCGAATTCCAAATATGGAATGATTATGCGCGTAAGCGTCCTATAATAATAAAAACAAAGTTCGCTGATTCTCTTCTAAACTTTTTGGATTTCGGCATTCCCATGATGTATCCTTGGAAGGAAAAGATGTATAATAATAAGTTTATTACGAAAACACCTCAAAGTATGCACTCAGACAGTACGCCGCGCATCGACCTCCGCTGCGCGTCGGTCGATACTCCAGCTGTACTGTCTTTGTGCATACTTTGAGGTATTTTCGTAATAACCTCATATTATAAAATATCCCTTCCAAAATATACACGAAAAATCCCCTTGCTGTGAACAATATAATTACTAGTAATTTCTTTGTAACATGTCTGCAACTGAATCTCTCAACTAATTAAAGTTGTGCAGATTAACTGAGTGTTGGCCATGGCTTTATTCTGCGGCCAAAATTTGATATAATTGAACAAACGAAGAACTATTATATAAAACCGGATCACTGTACCAATGTACCAAATGTCGATAGGCCTTCTATGTACGTAAATGTGATATAACTGTCTCACTGATAATGCAGTTGTGGCAATGTTGAATATTCATGTTTTCTAGTTTCCAGGGTTGACAAAAAACGCTACAGTTAGGTGATTTTCCGTTCACTGCGATATCTCGTATAATGAGAGAAAGGCGCGAATCGAACTTAGGATAAGAATATGGCGTTGAGATACACTTTCTTCAGCAAATATATTACAAAAAAAACGTTTGTTAAAAGTGAAAATACCTCCAAAATGTTTTGACGTCACTGCGACGTTATGACCTTCGTTTGTCCCGTTTTTATGTTCGGTTTCATGCAAAACACGCGATTAGTTAAAATCTATATTGCTTTATGATTACTTCTAATAATCGAACTAAATGAAACTTGAATAAACAAAATTAACGATTTAAAGCAAGATGATGAACAAATTCCCCAGAGATGCAGAATTCCTGCTGATACGTTTTATTACGTCAATAGTTTTGGACCCGTAGATGGCGTACGCCTTAACTCAATACAGCTTAAGGGGTACAGTTAGTGAGCAGATAACTGCACAGTTAGGGGGTCGTGCGCCGTCGTGATAGAAACGGAGAAACGACGTCTTGGATAAGTGTACTGGGAACTTTAATGTTATGTAACATGAGTATTGTATAGTGACATAAAACAGCAACAAATGATGACGTATAGGATTCACTCCGGTGCTTAAACCGAAGACGGAGTTTATAAGTTCCGAAAGACATGACTGTCGAAGACGTGATCCGTGAAACAGACATTCATCCCACTGTGTACCCGTTCTCGTCCCGGTACTCCTACAACGTCCAATGTGTTACCCGCCCGCTGGCCATGGTGTCATGTTATACTCAGAACAGCCTTCAGATACGGCAGCCTAGATCGCGACCGATCAAGACCCTCACTGACCAAAGGCCTTTAAGGTGAGACCTTATGACTTATTACACCGATTAACTTGAGGAGGGTGGGGACCGACGTCCGTGAAATGGGCTCTTGTTTTTCTTTGGCGTGCATTGGGGTCAGTCTTCACCGAGGTTCCACGATAACATGTTTTCATCGTTACAAAGCAATTAATTATTTGATAACATTGAAAAAAGGTGGCCAATCAACTGTAGATCCGTGCTACCATTATTCAATTCAAGTAACATAATTGATTTATAATTAAAAAAAGGGATTGATAGACATACAGAACAATATTAACAATAATGACTGTATTTCAAACTGACCTACATATAGTAAGCCTAAGGGCGTATGAGATCACAGAAGATATACCGTTAATGATACCCCAATGCGTAATATTTACTTTATCATGACTGAGGCGTATAGTACCATTACAAGAACATAAACGAGGTCGGTGGGCACATGCGTTGCTGGTTACACTTTTAATAACACTATCTGGTGTTATGTTACCGATCACACATCATGTTTTCCAGTTTGTTTTTGGGTTGCACTGGGAACAAATGTTGTTTTCTCGTTTCAAGTGTTTGTGAAATGTTCGACATTTATTATTTTAGCCCGTTACTTATTGGGTGGTCATTATCCCAGCGACGATATCCCGCACATCCCGCATGGTAGAGAGACTTTTGTTGAATGGGGTCAATGCAACTATGAGGTCGTGGCTATTTTGTAGTTTAATGTGTTTATTCGGCGATTCGTGAATATCAGCATCGTTGTCGTCGATGGCTATTGGTATAAAATCGACCATGTGACTGGTTACTGTTCGGGGTCCGGACGACAATTCGAAAATCGCAGTTGGGTGAGGGTTACCATGAATCAGGTTAAATTGCATTAATGAATATTCTTAATGTACTAGAACTTTATACAATCGGTAGCATTAACATACCGGCGGTATTCGTTAAATTAATTGGTGTCTCAGAAAATTCTTGGGATATTTGAAACCATACTATAGTATGTGGGCCAAGGCGAAGGCGGGCGGATGCCGAGTTCGGGAATTTAAAGAACAGAATCATTTTTTTATGAGTATATCATCTTAAAATGACGTCCAGAACTAAATAGTCAATCGCATCCTGGCTTTCAATAGTGCAATCCTCGTTATTAACAGTTTATATAGTCTTTGTATGTATATAAAGTCTTTGTATGGTGTCCGAGTCCCGAAGGTTACGTTACAAATTATTCAGTTAGTCTCAATAACGTTAGACTTTCAGTAGACAGTAAAATACAATTCACTCACGTGTTGAACTGTGTAAATATACAGTTTATGTTTTGTGTATAACTTACAGAAAGCAAATTTATCCGATTACCCCACCCATCCTCATATGTCCCTAATCTATTCCACAACAAATTACGTACATAAAACATACAGCAATGTCCAACTGAAAACGTAATAAAGCTTACATAAAAAGAAAGTACTAGTAACCCATTAACCAAGTTACAATGATATCCGTAATAATTTCCTGTGTGACCCAGAAATACTAAATGCTTACAGAGTAAGTGAATACACCTCTTCTATAAATCGCGCCCTCTAGTGACGAACGTTTCAATGACGTAAACGCAAAACAAAATGAGCG